GTAGATAGCCTTAGAAGATATCCTTAGGTCACTGGTTCAAATCTCGCTTGAAGGAGAGAGTTTTGGGGGAGTGGCGGCCTAGTGGTTATGGCATAGGGCTTTGAATCCTGAGATTGTGAGTTTGATCCCCCACTCCCACAGACTGCCACTCTGGGTCCCTGAGCAAGACCCTTAACCCCACACTGCTCCCCGGGCGCCGCACAATGGCAACCCACTGCTCCCCAAGGGGAAGGGTTAAATGCAGAGAATTAATTTCGTTGCTCTGTACTTGTGACGGTGTAATGACAATAAAATTGAATTATTATTATTTTTTATTTATATTAAAATAATCTGTAAAGCTTTGGCAAAATGATTAGATAAAGTCATTCCTCTCATTATCCACCCAGATCAAACTGGTTTCATTAAAGGAAGACAGTCAGCTACTAACACATACAGATTGCTTAATTTAATAGATAATTCCTACAGTAAAAATATAAAAATCCTACATATTGTCTTAAGATGCAGAGAAAGCATTTGATACTAAACTGGACATTTTTATTCGCTACTCTGCATAAAAGGTATAAAATGCATGAAAATAGAGCATAAAATTAGTCTTTACGCAGATGATGTATTACTTTATCTCCAGCACTCAAACACTTGCCTCTCTCAAGTGATTAGTTTACTAGAATCGTTCTCAAAAGTTTCAGATTACTCTATAAATTGGTCTAAATCTATAGTACTACAAATTAATTATTCTCTACAGAATCCCTCAGGTTTACAATTGCAATCAGGAAATATCAAATATTTAGGAATTACTGTGTCATCTAAATTAGCCGATTTAACAAAGCTTAACCCCATTCCGCTTTTAAAAAATATAGAAGAGGACCTAGAAAGATGGAAATCACTTCCAATCTTCCTTATGGGTCGGGCAGGTTCAATTAAAATTATAATCTTACCTAGAATTAACTACCCATTTTCAATTATCCCCAAGAAACCATAATCCGACTGATTTAAATCTCTAGATTCTTCCATCTCTAAATTTCTTTGAAAGGACAAACCCCCTCGTATCAGCTTAAAGACACTACAGAAAACCAAAGACAGAGGGGGACCATATTTTCCTAACTTCCAAAACTACTACTTAGCAAATAGACCACAATAAATATCTAAATGGATAAAACATAATCCCTTAGATGAGCCCTGGATAGACACAGAACAGGAAATATGGAATAATATCATAATTTCAGATTTGCCGTTTATTAGCTCTAATTTAAAACGGCACCCATGTTTTAAAAATATTAACATCAGCTCTTCCCTGACAGCATGGTGGGAATTTCTTAAAATGACGAAGTCATCAGTTATCCCATGCAGTCGTACACCCATGTGGAATAACACTGACATTCTACAAAACAATAATGTGATAAACTTTCCGTACTGGAAGAATAAAGGCATAAACTATCTGGATCATTTATTTGAAGGTACGGAGTTGATCACATTTGCTAGATTAAATTTGCAATATGGCATTAACAAAAATAAATTCTTAGAATATGAACAAATTAAAGCTATAATTAGAAACAAATTTAAGCATATTAATGGAGGTTTACAAATTCCAACTAATATATTACAGTTTTTATATAAAAACCCCTCCCTCCCCCAGGAACATCTCAAGTCTCCGCTAAGTGCGGAGCCCATTATTGAGCATTTTTCCTTTGGAAAAACTTTACACGCACAAGTGCACTCTCACAAGAACTAGAGGTGCTTGGTTCCAGGAACTCAAGAGATTCACTTCCATACAGAACGCCCATATTTTTATCTCCAGCTACCACAGTATACATGTCAGATTAAATACTACTACTTATACTTCAGCGATAGTATCAAGGTGTTACTTGATTGTATATCTTGTACAATGTCTGTTGGTTGTGCTGTTCTTTTTACATCTCTTTGCAGTTGATGAAGCAGACTGAAGATGTTTTATCATTATCTCTCTTTTATCTCCTCTTTCATCTTTTCTCCTTTTTTCCGTTTTTCCTTTCCTGTTCTATTTAAATCACAGTGTCCATATAATCTGTAATACTCCCTGCATGAATTATAATAAAGCTATTTATATGCATGAATTAAGCTGAGCACTATGGCAAAAGCCGTACTGCTCCACTTGTGAAAGTAAAATCTGTTAAGCTCTTTTTTTGGCATCAAGACAATTATTCTCATTGCCACATTGCCAGACAGGACACTGTTAAAAAAAAGACTTAGACTAAGACTATTGTTATTACTGTGTAACCTGCAGCCACCACCTGGGATGAAGGAAGGCTGAAAGTATCTCAGGCTCTTCAGAGAAGGTCATTAGCTGCAATCTTCCTCCTATTTCAGAACTGTAAACCTCCAAGACTTGGAGGCCAACAATTTAAATTGCAGCTGACCTCTCCCACTCTCTACACAAACTGTTTCACTTTCTCCCTTAAGGCAGGAGGTAGTGGTCCATCAGGACCAAAGCAGCCACCACAGCACCAGCTTATTTCAGTCGACAGCTAGACTTCTTAATAAGGCCAGAATTC